TCAGGCTCGCTGACTTGGTTGATGCAGGTCATCGTATCCCAGTTGCGTAGATCGATGCTCATGATGTCAAGCACTGGATTGTCTGGTCCAGACTCGTTACTTACAAACCGCCGTTATATAGCCGGAATATTGCTGAGTCAAAGTCAATCAAATCGGTCATCATTAAGCCAGAGGTTATTTATAACTGACTCGGAACTATTGTGGATTACTCAGGCCATAACTGAATAACGTTACTCAGCTATGGCCTGATGAGACTCGGACGTGGTACGAGTTGAAAGCGCTGGCCTATTAAAACTGTGTTCAATCTTACTCGACTTATTTAATTATAATAGATAGATAGATAGATAGATAGATAGATAGGTAGATAGGTAGGTAGGTAGGTAGGTAGGTAGGTAGGTAGGTAGGTAGATAGATAGATAGATAGATAGATAGCCATGTTATGATTTATGCTTACAGTTTATAACATTCTGGGCGCATTAAGACTTGCAAAGGGGAATATTTAAGTCTGGACACAAGAACAACAGTGATGCTATCTTGGTGTAATCTTCCAAGCAATATTGGGTTTATTTAGTCTATGCTGTGCCCTGTGGTAGCTAATAGGTGGCGGTTAGATGTATACGGACTGTTATCCTCGTCATAACGGCTGTAACTATCTCATAGATCAACTTGAAATCATATATCATCCTGCTTTTGTCTTTTAGATATAAACATATTGATGACTAACTCGCATGCATGTTACATCTTACAAATGACTCTCCAAAAACGAAAGTATTTCCCCAAGTAGTGAGGTCGGCTGCAAGGATTTATTGATCATTGTTAGTAGACAGCTCATGTTGTCAACAGTTACACCCAACCGCCCCCGATTGAACCGGTGACAGCTCAACTCAACTCAACCGCCCCCGATTTAACCGGCGACAGCTCAACTCAACTCAACCGCCCCCGATTGAACCGGCGACAGCTCAACTCAACTCAACCGCCCCCGATTGAACCGGCGACAGCTCAACTCAACTCAACCGCCCCCGATTGAACCATCGACAGCTCAACTCAACTCAACCGTCCCCGATTGAACCGGCGACAGCTCAACTCAACCGCCCCCGATTGAACCGGCGACAGCTCAACTCAACTCAACCGCCTCCGATTGAACCGGCGACAGCTCAACTCAACTCAACCGCCCCCGATTGAACCGGTGACAGCTGAACTCAACTCAAACATAGGCAATTACACCACAGCGGGGTTTGACGTGACGGGCGACGTGTTGTACTGGTCAGCCTCAGAAATTGTTACACCATCGTAAACGTTGGAATTGGAAAACTTACCCACAACCAAATAGCAAGGTTTGACATTAACTTATTTTTCGCAATGAACCCCTAGTATGCCAATGTTTTATTTCTGTACTTAGAGATCTTACTTTTGACAAGGGACGGTGGGATAGCGTAGTGATTACAGCAAGGTTCATATTTGATAAGTCCAACTGATTTTGATATGTCCCAATTGAGAGTTTAAAAAAATCTTAAAGAGGAAATACAGTTCTACGAAAGCCTAATGGTACCACTTTGGTAGCATAATGTTTAAAAAAAATCACTCTTTCTTATTATTTTGATTATTTTTTATAATTTCGAAATTTTGAGTTTTTGAGATAAACTTGAACAATTGAGAAAATATGCGAAATAAGGAGAAAAAACTTGTAATTTCGAGAAAGAAAACACTCGAGGTAACGAGAAAAAACGCGAAACGTCGAGAAAATAACTAAAATAACGAGAATTTCGATTAAAAGAAATTACATATACTACCGAAGTGGCCACAATTAGGCTTTCGTACAGTTCGAGTTGAAATTGCAAGTATCAAAACTTACATTCATAACATTTTAGCAATTAACTTACAACGTAATAGTTGCTGTCATGCTCGATATCTCTATCCATTCCCATGCCGGGCAATATACAGCAAATAGTAAGATTGTCAGAGAGAACCAGCTTTCCTATTTGTTCGAAATTAAAATGCAAGCCAGTTAATCAAACATCATTAGAGTGTTAATTGGCTGTCCATCTATCTAAACAGTATTGACCCTCGTATTATTACAGATAGTGTGCTGATGTCTCCGTAAATTATGATCTAATTCAGTTAGTCACGGGCATTTTTCTGTTATCTTGAATTTATGGTATGTAAACAAACTGAGATCCAGATCAAGAATGGCAATGCACGTAAATGGGATCCGTGACCCGTGAAGATCCGGTGTAGAATAGGTCTTCAGCAACCCATACTTGCCGTAAAAGGCGACTATGCTTGTCGTAAAAGGCGACTAACGTGATCGGGTGTTCAGGCTCGTTGACTTGGTTGATGAACGGGCATCGATCTCAATTGCGTTGATCGATGCCCTTGATATCAATCACTGGATTGTCTGGTCATGACTCGATTATTTACAGACCGCCGTCATATAGCTGGAGTATTTCCGAGTGCGGCGTTAAACATCAAACCAAATCATTTGATATCGTTAGCTTTCTCGGAATATCCTGAATTGAAATTGAGCTTAAAGAAATCCCTTGCTATTCAGGAAAGTCAATCAGACATTTGAATAAAATTATAGTATCTCATGATCATTTTGTACAAATTAACATGTCGCTGGTGCTTTGAACTATATGGTACTGAACTGGAAAGGGTGAAGACGTCGTCTGAGGCGTTCATGTATCTGTGATTAGCAGCGTTCCTTGGACGTACAAACATCCTCTTTCGTAGCTTCGAATTCCAGATACGTCATGATTATGTCCTTGCTATGACAGAACCATACCCGTGTTCATGGATTTCACCAAGGCGATATATTAAAGATTATTGCACTATATGTAAATAGTGCCTGCGTGCGTACATGCGTGCGTGCTGCCTGTACAAGTCCGGACTAATGCCGAGTTAAACGCGTTAGACCTGCATCACTTCAGGCCTTCGTCCCATATCAAGGTGTAAAAAGGGGTTGAACGTCGCGTCCAAGATTATTGCGTGCGTGCGGCTGCCCCAGACTAGTTCTGACTAATGCCTATTTATACTGCTCGCTCACTGAGATACCATGCCGCAGTTTAACATGAATACCCCACTCAGACACAGTGTACTGACTCCGAACGGACCAGTCCTTGTTTAAGCTCGTTAATGCCGACGCCAGGCAGGGACACAACATGTACCATCTTTTAACGTATTTTAGTATGACACGGCCGGGGATCGAACTCACTACCTTCCGCTCTACGGACAGACGCTCTATCCACTAGTACCGGTCTAGTACCATATCGAGCTGGCGAGCCGTCGTATTACTGAAATACTGTTCAAAGCGGCGTTAAAGAAATTCCTTCTCTCACTAAAGTGGTCAACGTCAAAAACCTGCATAAATTCGGGTTTTCCTCCTACACTGGTCGGACACGCCCTCATGTGGCTGTAATACTGTTACAACAACCCATCAATACCCTCACTTCATTGATAAGAAATCCCTGCTAAAAAGGATCATATTCAAATACTGTGATACCATTTCGCGAAAAGGTGAGCGTATCCTGCCCTGCTCGTGGCACCTGTCACACACAGGCAAAGGCAACTCAGATGTTTAGCTGAACAAACACGGGAACATCTGGTACAAAGTAGGAAATAGCATCGAACATCAATTTGAATGCCCAAAGCATGTCTTCCATGAACTGTTTTGAAAGCTTTGCTAAGGCCTTGAATGTTGTAACCCTGATGAAACAACTGTTAAATAGAGTCGTTTGACCATTTTTGGAATTTGTAGAAAGAGTATGTACGATTGTACCTCGAACGTGAAATGAAGTCACACGAGAGTCTGGAGCTGCCGCTCGCCATGAAGGGAAACTTGAAGCCGACCCTCATGCCATACAGTCCCGCGGGGAGGCTATTTCTCACTTTCAAAGCGACGTTCAACCCACCTTGCTCATCTCTCCATCAATCGGTGATTATGATGTCTTGTAGAGAAACAATGCGACTTCGTTAACCCTGGAATAACTATAAGTGTGAATGAGAGAGTATGCAACAACTAAACACTAAATGTTTAGGGCCTAGACATTTTAAAACTGGCCCCAACTGTGTTACTGGTAAGCAGCAGGATCTTTGCACTTCAGACATAATTCAAAATTAATATATCGTTTTTTGTTTCAACACAATCAGTAAATACGTTATCATGTCACTGGGTTTTCTTGCCCATCAATCACAAGATTGCCTGGTTTTGTTTACAGGCCGCCGTGGTATATCAGGCAACACACACATACTGTTTTATGTAAATTGTGTGAGTGGAGAGTGACTGACGGGTGAGCAGGACAGGATATGTTTAACCTTATAGCTAACTATCACTTAGCTCTCACCACCAGTCTTCCCAGTCGTCCAGAGCAATAGGAAAAAGAGACATAAGCCGCCAACATTGACAGAAACACGATGCTATTTGTGTGTATTTGACACCACAAGTAAGCTATAATAGGAAAGGTGCTCGAATGTGAGGATAGGGCAGTCGTTTGAATTCGCGTTCATATAGAGCCAGTCTCGAGAGAGAGTTAAGTCTCGACACCAACCACATGCACTGTTTTTATTTGGCCATACATAATGCGTGTCACGGCATTCCCAGCGAATTGCGGCGCCTCAGACGTCTTGGTCCCCTGTGCTCTCGGAGTGTTTATATGGACGATAATTCAAAATAAATTGTCTCATAACTGTCTGTTAACAATTGGACAATTCTGATTGTAATCACTGCGTAGGTTGGTTTCTCCGAAAGTTGCTTGACCTCTTTCAACTGTACCCCTTGTCTCTGTCATGATGATGGGAAGAAAAAAACAGCCAACTGTTGCAGTAAAAGCCTCAATCAAATCCCTATCGCCATTCCAGATAACGTAACCTCGTTGTTGCTAAGCCACAACATCTTCAGCCAGGTTGAGCCCGGAGCCGTTAAACGTTTTCGCAGCTTACAGCATCTGGATCTGTCTTTCAATAAAATCACCTCATTACACAGGGACTCTCTGGTCGGTGTCGAGATGTTGAAGACACTGAGTTTTCATGGGAATAACATTAACCTCACACAAACAACCTATCCCAAAGATGTATTCCTCCATCAGAAGCAATTGGTCATGCTGGACATTAGCAAAAATGATAACTCCTATTCAGGATCCGACTACCCTGACAAGACACCAATGGGTTTGACGTCTCTGCAAACACTCATTGTAGATGGACTATTGAATGCCACTTTTGGAGAGGGTTGTGCATCTCTTACAAAACTTACCCATTTGAATCTCTCTGGACGGAAAGGTTATTGCGGGATCAGACACTTGTCCAATAATGCCTTCACCAATCTGCCGTCTCTTCGGCTCCTGAATATCAGCTCCTGTAGACTCAACATTATTGACAGATCGACTTTCTCTCCTTTGAAAAGTATTTCTATCTTGGATGTATCAGATAATGAATATCTTGGATTTGATAGACTCGGAGAATCCTTTTATGGCCTTAGACATTCTTCTATTCGCGTGCTTAATGCTAGTCATATCGTACCAACGTTTGCCACTGGTATAACATTGAAAGCAAAGCATGTGCAATACCTGAATGGCACAGGTATCAAACATATGGATTTTGCTTCAGACAGGATTGAACTGATTGAAACTGAAGTTTTGTCAGTATTGTCATCATTGGAAACTATTAACCGATTCACTTTTGGGACGTATCTTCTAGGCTTTGACAGGATGGTAACTCTGACAGAACTTCATGCTGCGAACCAATATGGTTCAAATGTTCTACCTATAACAGACTTTCCTTACCCAAACAAAGGCATTAAGTTCCCAAAACGTATTGATGATACTAACAACATTTCACAACACACTGGGCATCTTTCGAGTATGAACAACATAACTTTAAATAACTCTGAAACGAACTTCATATCTGAGGACGTCAAGCGAAACATATATTGGTACAGTTTTTTTAAGTTGATGGATCCACAACAAAAGGGATACACATATCTGAAAAACGTTTTGGACTTTCATATAAAAATTCCAATGCCTCCAACCTTGACATATATCAATGTGTCCAATAGTAGACTAGCTTACGAAATCCCACAGATTGATTTATACCACAATAAAGTGAAGACACTTGACTTCTCAAAAAATCTCCTGACAAAATGGCATGGTCCCGTGTCTCCCATTGACAGATTAGAGTTCTTAGACTTGTCTCAGAACTTTTGCAATTTCATGTCCAGTCATTTTCTCAGTAAGGCCTACGCACTTCGTCAACTTAACATCAGCCACAATTACCTCGCTTTATCCTTACAGAATGACACCATTGGCAAATTGTTTCAAAATGTAACTAATCTGCTGGTTCTAAACATTGCTTATAATTTAGCAGGAATTCTACCTTTTTCCCTCTTTAAACATCAACATCGACTAGAATATCTAGATCTCAGCTGGAATCTTATCACGTCATGGACGGTCCAGATAAGTCACATGAAGAACCTTTCCTACTTGGACATGTCGAACAATCGGTTTGTAGACCTACCAATTACACTTCGAAGCCAAATTGATGAAATCATGAAGAACAGAAATGGAGACTTTCATCTGAAGATCAGTGGAAACTTGTTCAAATGTGACTGTTCGAGTTTAGATTATTTCCAGTGGATGTTGAAGAAAGATGTCCTGGTGGAAGATATCAATACAACACAGTGCCAGATGGATGACGGGACATACGTCAGCCTGAAAAACCTAGAGGACATTGTGCTGAACCTCCAACTAAGATGTCACACAATACTGCCGATCATAGGTGGGTCGGTAGCAGGGATGGTGGTGTTCTTCACTATTCTTATAGCTGGCATCATCTACCGTTACCGATGGAAGCTGAGATACATGTACTACTCCACCCGGAGAAGGTACAGAGGCTACCAGAGATTGACTGGAGAGGAAGACAACTTCACTTATGATGCCTTTGTCTCATATGCTGACGAGGACAGGGACTTCGTGGTGCAGGATATGCGCAACGTTCTTGAGAGGATACATGGAGTGCGACTGTGCATACATCACCGAGATTTCATGGTTGGAGAGGCCATCACTGCCAATATCTTAAACGCCATACAATCAAGCCGTAAAACCATTGTTATTTTGTCTCCAAGTTTCCTCAAGAGTTCCTGGTGTGATTATGAAGTCCACATGGCCAAACTTGAGAGTATCCACACTGGAAGGGATGTTCTGTGCGTCGTGTGGTATGTTGATGTGCCTGACAACAAAGCTTTAACCCTAAGACATCGCCTTTGAAATTGAACATGGTACCCATCTCAGATACCCAATTGATGACGAGGACGTGGAATCGTTTTGGCAAAATCTTAAAGAAGCAATCGCTTGATAAGGACAAATGGATCTTTGGTTTGACATTGCACCGTCCTAGAAAGTAGCATTTGTTTTATTATGTTTGGTGTTTTATGAGACAGTCGGTAATATTCGTGATAAGATCACACGCAATCAATCAATCTAGAGGAGAAAACACAACCTTTCACACTATGCAACGGATTGTGGTAGCGGCAAAAATGTATAATTATTCTCCATTGAAGGATGTTCCTTGTAATAAAAAAATAATGGATATGTATATCAATGTTTTTGTGTCATCCATCGTCTTGTTTGTTTTATGTTGCTTGCTCGACGAATGGTTACAAGAATATGTGGAGAAGACAATTGTATTTTTTCATTCGTTGATGTTTGGATTAGAAACAATTCATTATCACAACTGTGTCTACGTTTTTGCTTTGTGTAGAAAAGTTGTTATTCATATGTACTCTTTCAGCACAGTTATTATAAGCGAAATAAAACCATTAATTATATACTTCAGTGTGAAAGACTGAATTTTCTGAAATTGAGAAAAGTGATATTTTCATTGCAGTGAACATAACACTTGATATTTCACTGCAGTGAACAAACAACTCTGACGGAACAATTGTCATACAAGAGTCGCCTCCCCTTAAAATGTCTTTTCCCCCCCTCTTGTCGGAAGTGTCTCGCCCGTACGCAAACTATTGACGTCCTTTTTACGTCAGTTCCACGTTGACAAGGCAAATTAATGACTGACTGTCATTTATGCAGTTAATGTCACTTCTTGCCGTTTGTTATTCTCGCGAAAATGTTTCGTAATAGACTGAAAATTTCTCATTCAACTCGTCAATCGAGACTGTTTGTTTGCAAAGCACCATTTTTGTTACTAGACCAGCGTGTATTCTTTCGCTCCCAACAGTGGTCTCCTAATTTTCAAGAATATTTTTTGTTAAAGTTGATTTTGTATATAGTTAAATCTACATGTGGTATATTTTTATATCCTTTTATTTATATTGTGAAAGATTTTGCAAACACGAAACTACTTTTTAAGTCGCAAATGCAAGGGGCTATGAACCGCCCGTGTGTCCAGCAGGGAGAATTTACATATTGTCTCCATATGTCTCGTAATAAAAATCAACGTTTCTGTCATCTTACGAGTGACGTAGGCAGCACTTAGAAGGTTAAGCAGTTGTTCTGTTAATCTTAGTACAGTTGTGAAAAAATCAATGTCTTTTGGACCGTTGGACATAAGCTGCTCAAGTTAAAGTAGGTCTGTTATCATTATCGGTTTATTTGAGACAAACAGTTATACCTAATTATACTATGTTGAGCAAGAAGCAATGTCTCTGTTTTCTTTTTTAAAATCTCAAACAATTTCTTTAACCATAGTTGCAAGTATATTTGTAATAGTTACTAATCGTTTTTATCATTTCATTTTCAAAGTTTTTTGTTTGTTTGTTTGTTTGTTGTTAAACGCCACACTTAGCATTATTTCAGCTATATGACGGCGGTCTGTAAATAATCGAGTCTGGAACAGACAATCCAGTGATTGACATCATGAGCATCGATCCACGCAATTAGGATACGATGACATGCATGAACCAAGCCAGCGAGCCTGACAACCAGATCCCGTTAGTCGCCTCTTATTTTCAAAGTTTATCCCATGGCATACATCATGATATACTAGTATACATATACGTAATTAAGCGATTGATTTCCTCCCGAGGGATGGAGGGGCAGTCGTCTAAGGCGCCACAATTCGCTGTGCATAGTTGTGTCCCTTGATCATGCCAGGAATCTATGATCAGGGGTGAGAAAGAAAGAAAGAAGAAGAAACCTGCCAGGTGCCGAGCAAGAGCCAAGAACACCATTCCTGCACCTGCTGTAGAAGTTCCTGTGTAGGGAGCTGTAGACGTTCCTGTGTAGGGAGCTGTAGAAGTTCCTGCGGAGGGAGCTGTAGACGTTCCTGTGTAAGGAGCTCTAGAAGTTCCTGTGTAGGGAGCTGTACAAGTTCCTGCGTAGGGAGCTGTAGAAGTTCCTGTGTAGGGAGCTGTAGAAGTTCCTGTGTAGGGAGCTGTAGAAGTTCCTGCGTAGGGAGCTGTAGAAGTTCCTGTGTAGGGAGCTGTAGAAGTTCCTGTGTAGGGAGCTGTAGAAGTTCCTGTGGAGGGAGCTGTAGAAGTTCCTATGTAGGGAGCTGTAGAAGTTCCTATGTAGGGAGCTGTAGAAGATCCCGTGGAGGGAGCTGTAGAAGTTCCTGTGTGGGGAGCTGTAGAAGTTCCTGTGGAGGGAGCTGTAGAAGTTCCTGTGGAGGGAGCTGTAGAAGTTCCTGTGTAGGGAGCTGTAGAAGTTCCTGCGTAGGGAGCTGTAGAAGTTCCTGCGGAGGGAGCTGTAGAAGTTCCTGCGGAGGGAGCTCTAGAAGTTCCTGCGTAGGGAGCTGTAGAAGTTCCTGCGTATGGAGCTGTAGAAGTTCCTGTGTAGGGAGCTGTAGAAGTTCCTGTGTAGGGAGCTGTAGACGTTCCTGTGTAAGGAGCTCTAGAAGTTCCTGTGTAGGGAGCTGTAGAAGTTCCTGTGTAGGGAGCTGTAGAAGTTCCTGTGTAGGGAGCTGTAGAAGTTCCTGCGGAGGGATCTGTAGAAGTTCCTGCGTAGGGAGCTGTAGAAGTTCCCGTGGAGGGAGCTGTAGAAGTTCCTATGTAGGGAGCTGTAGAAGCTCCTGGGGAGGGAGCTGTAGAAGTTCCTATGTAGGGTGAGTGAGTGAGTATTGTTTTACGCTGCTTTTAGCAATATTCCAGCAACATCCATGTCGGAATTCGAACCCGGGGCTTCGGCGTGACGAGCGAACGCTTTAACCACTAGCCTACCCGACCGCCCCCATAAACATAAAGAACATCATGAATATCTGTCAAATATTACCAAACCTTACTCACTGGTTTATTTGATTCTCGTCTGGTTATTGCCGACGATCACGGAATGAGTGAGTGAGTGACTGAGTTGGGTTTAACAGTGTCGCGGCGTGTCAGCTTAATGTGGGAGAAAAGCCCTAAGTGATGCAGGTCTCAGACGTTTACTACTTCAGTGAAACCCACGAGCACGGGTATGGTGCTGACAAACCAAGAAACATGATCGGGGCGAACCGGGATTCGAACCCACAATCATAGGTTTCTGGCGTGCCCAAGGGACGCAACTCTTCACAGCGAATCACGGCGCCTTAGATGACTTGGACACCCGTGCCCCCCGATTACCGAATGAGGAATCATCCCGATGTCAACAGCTGATACACAACCAACTCTGTCAGATGGACATTGTGGGCTCGAATCATTCATTCACCCTTTTCATGATCTTGGTTTGTTAACAACGCATCGACACTCACGGGTTTCACCAAGTCGTGTAGACGTTTAGTGCCTGCATCAGTCTTATCTCCCACATTAAGTTTACTAAAAATATTAATCATAAGGGGATTGTTTGTTTCATTGTCAGTTGAGGTCACATTGCTTCATTGTCGTGAAAAATATAATGTCATCCATTGTTCATGACGTCACAAATCGACAGCTTTGAGGGTGGGTGGGAGTTCGGCCAGAAGTAGACATTCTCATGGGTATCAGTTGTCTCCCCTTGTTGCTGATGTGTTTCTTTAAGCATACTAATCCAAATTTCTGCTCTGATTGGTAAAGTCAAAACTGGGCAATTTGGCCAAGAAGTTTAACTTACACTTTATTTATATTAATGATCTCATTTCGTTTAATAGCCATCAAACAGCCAATTCCCTTACACTGATTTACCCACCTGAACCTTCATCTCGAGCAATATTCCTGCAGCCCCAGCCTTTGGTGTCTACATTTCAAAACTTTTGAGGTGAAATCGAGCATGCTTTTCTACGAAGATTTTCATACGACTCTTGCTCAAAAGTTGCTTCATCAACATTCAAGACCTCAGTAAAGCTTTGAAAAGTGTTAAGGTAGACATGTGGAGGACATCGCCATATTTGACGCATCAGTGAGCACGAAATGACGCCCGATGTAATTCCCGAATTTAACTTGTACAAGATGTTCCCTTGTTTCCTCAGGTGAACAATTGCCTTGCCTTTACATGCATTTGTGACGGGTGGCACCGCTCAGGCAAGGTATCCTCACTTCATTCATAAACACATGCTCATGATGTAGTCAGAATTGTACAATCGACTCTGCTTTTAGCAGAGATTTGTTATGAACATGGAAAGGGTTTTGTCGTTTCTATTTAGCCACCGGAACTAGAAGTTAAAGAGAACAGTGAGACCGCCTCATCAATTTTATATTTAGATCTATGCGTAAAGTTTCTGCAAAATCATTTCTTTCAGAGTTTGATTTCATTGTACTTCAGTTTATGTTTCAATGTTCTGGAAGCAGAATATGGTTGATCGTTTCCTCCTTCACACTGACAGCTGAGCTGACCACGCAGGACACACACGTTCACTTGGCAAATAAATATATTTTACGAATGCTTCCATCTTTAATACACTCGCGTGTGATAAACATTTCTTAAATCAATATTAATAGTGCCACACCGAATAACAGCATTGTGTGTTTGTCCTTAACCAAGCCAACACCCATCTTCCAAACAACTGACTTTATGACACAGAAACGGGACATTTTCACAAAGTGAAAAATAAGGCTTGCGCCCCCGGCCGATCCATGTTTAACAGCCAATTCATGAAAAGTACTAATCTGGATTTTAATGACATAATTATTTGTTCAAATGACTTTAACCGCTTTCAGACATCAAACACAGAACTAGCACTCGAGGTATTTTAGTGAGACCAGGGGATCAAACCAACGTTATAGCAGCGTACGGTCTGATCCGCTCTTTCAATAGACAGTTTGTCCCCTTGCACACCGGTAAGAGCTATTTTTCAGTCGTTATCTTGACGATTTAATAAAGAACTGACTTTCACTTTCAAGCTCCGACGTTCATACAGTTTGGCCCTCATGTGACCTACCTGTCGTCCAACCAAAAAGCCGTGTATCGTTTAAACTTCAAATAAAAATAATATTTTAGACAATTCTTATAATTTTTGTATCACAATTTCTTACCTCAAAGGATGTAGGCCAAGATCTATACATAATTATATTTAGTACGTGTGACTTCATGTTTACACTGACAGCCATACAGCAACCAGCTATATCGCGGAATATAATAGTTCCTCAAAAAGAGAGGTGACATGAGCGTATGGATGCACAACTTGCTCCTCAGAAACATTTTACGCAACACATGTATTCAAATATTATCACCATTAGATGAGAAAGGTCTGTTAAGAACTACCTCATTAAATCAGTCACAATGACAGCGCGTCGTAATAAATTTACATTAAGTACAAGACGTCAAAATGTGTATTTCTTCGTTTTGTTCACTAGGATTGGTCGTTGCGAGGATATTCGTGAACGATCGTGTAGTCAGACTCTAACTATTCTGAATGTATACTAAAACGCTGAGTTCAAGATTAAAGGGTCTAAATAATCAGAAAGAATGCTCCTGTACGTATTCGTGCTAGGGAATTCCCAGGGGCTTCCCCGGGAATGTGGAAGTAGTCCGTCAGTGTTGACGTCATTTCAAGAACACGGTCTCGTGAAAAACGTATGAACGTCAAACTGTGTCTTTCATACACTTATGAACGTCAATTTCGCGGTCAGGTGACCGACCTCTTGTCCAATTGAAAAGCCGTATATCGTGTAAACTTGAAATTAAAAAAATATATATGTGAAACAACGATTAAGAACCTTTATGTTGTAATATTGATTTGAAACGGTTATATACTTCTTCCGAACAGACTAATACAACGACAAATAATTTCCCTGACTGCATAACAGTACGGGAACACGAAGAGGCCACAGTTTTATGAGGATGTATCAGCAAATGAAGGCCATCTTGCTTCCTTCTACTACTACAAGCTTACAGAAACATGTGTCAACTGTTGGACTTGCAATGTGAAACACTGGCTTAGGCTTTGGATGCATTGATGTATACATGGACAACTTTACTGAACAACAAACGTTCCTGTGACATTGAATAAGATTTAAAGTAAAGTTATGTTTTTTACCAAATCTGAAACAATTTCGGTTTGTAACAGATAAAAGACTCCTGTAAGTGTTCAAAAGGTTTAATTTGCTATACTGACTTCAGAAAATGCGTGATTTCCTAAAAAAAAAACTTGAACATGCCAAAATGTCAATTTACAAATCAATAGCTTGTGTGTCCACCTCTAGTTGTGATGCAAGCAACACATCTTCGTCTCATGGAATGGATCAGGCGTCGCACAAAGTCCTGTGGGATATCTGTCCATATCTGCTAGAGCATGTTTCGAAGTTCCTGGAGTGTCTGTGGAACACGTGGTTGACGTCGAAGGCGCCGATCCATCTCATCCCACATGTGCTCGATTGGTGAGAGATCAGGGGAGCGAGCAGGCCAGGGGATGACATTCACGTTGTTTTGTTGAAGAGAATCCTGAACAAGTCGAGCAATATGAGGCCGGGCGTTGTCATGTTGAAAGGTAATGCCTGGGCCATGACGACGCAAAAACGGTAGAACAATAGGGCCGATGATCTCGTCGCGGTAGCGCTGTCCATTGAGATTTCCCTCTTCCACTATCAAACGGGTCCTCTTGCCTTGCTGTAATCCCACCCCATACCATAACGCGGCCGCCCCCGAAACGATCTTCTTCCATGACACAATGATTGACGTAACGTTCACCTCGACGTCGGTACACTCGAATCCGTCCATCGCTGTGGCTGAGGTGAAAACGAGACTCGTCAGTGAATAGAACTTGTCCCCACTGCTTTAAGCATATCAATGGCTCGCAGACGCTCATTTTCGGACAGGCGTGGCATTTCGTAATGTTGAATAATTGCGTAATTTTGTTGTTTTTCTGAGTGGTT